GGTCATAATGACGATCAGCGCTATCAAAAAATAGAAGCAATTACTTCACTAAAGAGCCTTCTGGTGCCTCTCAATGTGCATGCACTGGTACAAAAGAGCAGCTACAGCACACCCCTTCAGCACAGAGCTCACATTGCACTTACATCTTTAAACTTTTCTTTTAAATCACTTCTGTTATCATGCTAGAAATACAAGGTGCAAGAGGAAATCTTCCTTTAATACAACCTGCTCACATATAAGCCAATTTTGTTTCTGTTTATTTAGAATACAGCAATTATTTTACAGTTATTATCAGAAATATTAGACCCTGAAAACCTTTTCACATGCTTTATTTATAAGTTTGAAGTGAGTTTGACTTCACATAACGTTGACTTTTGTATGTATGTATGTATGTATGTATGTATGTATATGTCTGTCTCGTTGCAATGTGAGAGATATTTTGCAGGAAAGGAAATATTTTTTTGTGTGGTTTGGGGTTAGAGTGATTATCTTCAGCTGCACAGATCTGACCCTACAAATCAAAACTGAACTGAACATCAGACTTTACTAGAGGACATCTTCATTTACGTTAATGTGGCAAAATGAAGGAAAAAAAGAATAAGGTTGAGAAATGGTTTAATCATCTTTAAATGCTGTAGCTGACACAAAAGTTCAGGCATTACATTTGTTCTCTCTCTCTCTCTCTCTCTCTCTCTCTCTCTCTCTCTCTCTCTCTCTCTAAATTGTCTTCAAGTATTGCTCTGTGTGTGTGTTGGTATGTGGCCTTGTCTACAGTTAATTGCACAGGAGGAAACTGTATTTTTTGTGATTTTGGTTTGCAGTTTATAGGGTTAATTGTCAGGCTGTAGCAACAGGCTCCTCATTGGCTGTTGCTTAGCTTGTGCACTACACCTTCCACCCTGCAGGAGGAGACATTGCCTACCCTTTTTCTTTTACTGACTTTAGCTTCAAGCTGCATCATTCATTGACTTATAATAGCATGTTAAAGCATGTTAGAAAAAAAATCTGTTTTATTCTGTATGTTTGGCATTTTTGAAGGTCTAATTAATGCATTAGGTGACGTTTTATCAGCTGCACTCTTCAGACAATCCACTTTTATACCTTTTTAGTGTTATAATATGTAATGTATTTTGTATTATAAGGCACTTACTGCTCTATAATGTGCTCTCGCGTGCGGTGTGGTGTGATGTGATGTGCTCCCCGTGGGTTATTAATTTTTACTGGCCGTGCCTCAGCTAGACTCTTTTTTCAGACGAGAAGAAACGGTATATAACCTGAAAATGCTGGTTACTTGAGCAGGCCCCTCTAAATTTATCCAAAGTGTGTGCTATCTTTAGTGTGCCCCAGCCCTGTCCTGCCCACAGTCTGCAGTTTGTTCGGTTCAGACATACCGTTTCAGCCTGGAGAGATTGTCCCCCTGCCCCCCCAACACACACACCACAGCAGCACCAGTGGCAGCTGCATTGACTTCCTCGACCTGCGGTTGACTAACTGACTGCTGACTGGCTGAGGCCTTTTGGGATATCACGAGAAGGTCTGCCAAACATGTAGACTTGCAAAGGCACGTCCAAGGGGCCCCTGTCTCCTTGCTCTCCATTCCCAAGTTGCCACAGAAACCAACTTCCATTGAATGTGTGTGTGTGTGTGTGTGTGTGTGTGTGTGTGTGTGTGTGTGTGTGTGTGTGTGTGTGTGTGTGTGTGTGTGTGTGTGTGTGTGTGTGAAGCCCCTCAGCTGTTCTTGAGTAAAGTACATTGTGTTGTTCTTGTTGTAACACTGCAGTCATACAAAGAGGGTTGATTTTTGTGAAGTGTGTTTCTGGCATTGATTACCCTGACTGGTGTCACGATGGTATTGTGATTTTGCAAATGATGCAGATAATAAAATATTGATTACACTTGAGTATTGCAGTATTATGTTTTGTGGTATTGTATCGCTATTGATTTGAGTTTTAACCCCCCGACCGCTAGATAGCAGTGTCGTAAATGTGAACTGAGGGCTGCGATGTTGGGACTGTGGTAGCTTTTTTTTTTTGGTTAGAACGTGCGACCCCATGTACAAAGTCCTCACCATAGTGGCCTGGGTTTGATTCTCTGTCCTCGCTTTACGGTTTCTTTTCAGCTTCTATTATCTAATAAAACAACAGAAAATGCAGATCCCACAGTTATGGTTACATAAAGTATTTCATGGTGTGTTTTTTTTATACTACGACAGTTTTATGACCGAAACAAGATCTCGATTGCTTACAGTATGACAGTATATTGAATCGTAGTCCCTGTATCACCCGATTCTTGCTAATACACAACCCCAGTAGTTGTATACATTTCATGTGCCATTTGTAAACAAGTATGTAAGATATGGATAAATCAGCTATATCTGATTCCTCAGCAGCAATTAAAGCTATCTGTTTTTTTTACCGCCATTATTAAATTGCTCAAATCTAAAGGCTTTTAATTTATGTGTGTTTCCATGGTTATGAGCTGCAGGCCAGCTGGGGGCATGTTGATGGTTTGATCTCATGCCAGGGAATCTCAGACATGATCACTGATAGCGCCAAACATTTCTGTCATATTTTGTCTGCCACCTGATACATTTCCATTGGTGCTGAAACTATCACATCGTCGACAGTTACTGAGAAGCAACTCTATCTCCAGACTGTCCGGTGTCACTCATGGGCCAAACGCATTGATGAGTAAATAAACACAAACCTTTTTGGCAAGTCTTCTTGGTATAGCGGGGTTTATCAAGGTAGCTACTGGAAAGAAATTCAAGGCAGATGTGTTTTTAAAAGCTTTAACATATAAACATTTAACCCATCTTTTCTAAAGACATGTCAGAAATAATATCTTTAATAAAAACTAGTCTACGCCGGGTAATTCTCGTAGATGTGAACAGTAGGGGTTTAGGGTGGATGTGTTTTAAATTTAACTCCCAGGTTGTGATTTGAGTTTCTCAGAAAAAGGTTGGCTGTAGAATGGCAGCCGTGTTGTATATCTTGTCTGGGAGAAAGGTTACACTTCCAAGGTGTGCGATGGCAGCACTGCGTGTCTCCAATCTCTATTTAGGGAAACTCTGGTGTTCCATCTCAGAGTTCACTGCTTCTGAGAAAACCCCCCTCCCACTTTGCAGTTCCAATAATGTCTTCCAGATGACCAGTGTCCTACATGGAGTTTCGTGTGTTCTGTGGTTAAGCCAGTTCCTTCACACGCAACATGCCAGCCTGTGTGAGTGTGTGTGCTCTGCTAGCCAAAGAGGATGTGGATTTGGATGAAGTGGTTCATTATTTGCCTGATTAAAAGCTCTTTAGTAGAAGGAGGGTAGTTCATTGGTAATGAGTAGCGTGCATGCATCAATGGGGGAGCAGTAGATGCCCGCTTTAATGCCAGATTTAAAAAAAACTGTAATAATTTTTAAGGGTAGAAAGAAAGAAAAATATGGTCGCTTAGAAAGGCATCCATTCATGGTTTTCTCAGCATTTTTGAAACTGCAGACTCGCTCGTTGGAACAGTCGAGCCTTTCAGAAAAAGCGCTTTTTTTTTCAAAATACGCCTTCGCAAATCCAAACAAAATCCTCGCCAACCCCTTCGTCCTTTCATGTCCGCACCTGGATGCGAACTTCTAAAGGAAAGGAAAAAAGTCAGACCTGGCTTACCTCATATCACAGGGTATTTGCTTTAGTTCTTCGGTCCACCAAAACCCCAACTTCAGAGCTCAGCACCTTCAAGTCTGTTGTAAATACTCACCTTTTTACTTTTGATGGCAACCCTTTGGTCTCGTACCTGCTTCTTCTTTTGAAGTTCTGAGGTGGCTTGTAAGTGAGTGCTTCAAGTGAATTGCAGCCATTTAAATGTCACATTGAACGTCTGATGACTAGTAGACCATTTAATTTCCGTAATTTACTTGCTATTTTTTGGCCACATTTCTGGAGAATTTGCTGACATGACTTGGAATATACCTAAATTGTGTACAAAATAAACCCTTTTCATTGTCACCAGAAGAAAATGGACATAATCCTCTGAAATCCCCTTTACGAGCTGTTGTGTTATCAAAACAGCCAGAAGGATGAGACAATATATTCTCTGTCAAGACTGACATTCAGACAAAAGCACTTCTGTACTTTCACTCTACGGAAGATGCAGAGAAAAGATATGGTGTAAAGAAAAATAGTTCTTGGAGACAGAATCAGTATTTCCTCCTTGCGTCGCTTGCATTTCTGTTGGGGGCAGTAAAGAGGAATTTAGTTTATCCTCTCATCGGTATTCTTAGTCATTCATCCAACGAATGCTTTGAAGTTTACTGTGAACATCATACCGCTTTGTAGTGGAAGCTGCCTGTTAGAACCTTTTAAAACAAATTAGTTGATCAAAATAAGGATAATTGGCAATGATGAGAAATAATTCAAGCCATTTTTAAAGAAGTAGTACAAAATATTGCGTCGTTCCAGCTTGTCAATGGTTAAGGCTTGCTTCTTTTGTTTGTCTTGTGATAATTAACTGGGTATCTTTTTAGGTTGGTTAGCAAAGACAAACACTGTGAGCTTTAGGAAACTGATATTTTCTAATTTACACCAAAAAAGTCCAGTTAGTTGAAGTTGACTTTTTTTGTTTTTTTGGACAGAATTGATATTGATCGTGCCGACATGCAACCAATACTGATATTCTTTCACATCCTTTTTCCAGTGTGGATGCAAAAATGGTCTTAAATTGCAGTCCTAGGGGTCTTTTAAAAGGTCTTAAACATTAATTTTTAAGTTTGTTTTAAATGTACTACTACTACTTATGATTGCGTTATTTGGTGGCAGATAAATTGTGTTAACATGTGTAGCATGTGTGTTGTTTCATGGTTTAATAGAGGGTAAGATTAGTAACTTATTCATCATGTGTCAGAAAAAGCATCACAAGACAAAGCATTGACCCAGTGGAGCATTAGTAGGGAGCAAGTTTTACTCTTTATTTAAATTTAAAAATCACCCCGGTTGACAATCTGTTCTTGTCTCTTCCAGGCTTCAGTCTGCTGGACTTGACGGAGCAGTTTTCCCTTCCAGACACCACTCCACCAGTGCTGGCCAGACTGCTGGAGGCTATTGAGAGGAAAGGTGAGCTTTAACAGAGCGAGCTCATCTTGACGCACACTTGAGTTTTCAATATGACTGTCCACATTTGGCTGTGACCTTTTACACACATGAACTGAATGGTATTTGTTATGGTTTTGCAGGTCTGGACAACCCCACTTTATATCGAACGTTTACTGCAGGTGGTGGACTCGAAGTCAGACAGTATTTTGATTGTGGTAAGTAGGTTTTTTTCACCACTTTATATGACGCTTGTGTGTTTCTAATAGTTGAATGAGGGAGGCAAATTAAGAACCGAGGAAGTCTTAAATAGAGAAAAAAAAAACCTCTGACGTTGGTTGTGATGATGAGGTACATGTGTGAGGTGATTTGCATGTGTACACTTTGTGAAGAAGAAGAACAGAAAGGCCTGTGGTTTTGTGACTGCAATACTGTGTGATATACATTTTGCAGATTGTGCATGCGCCTCTAATTAAAGATTTCACTGTGGGAGGAAGGAGTTATTTTTTTTTTTTTGTATTTAAGCCCTGTGTCTTCCTTGCACTTTCAGATCCCGCCACAGCAGACCTGGATCTGTTTGAGCTTCCGATCCTGTGTGACGGTCTGCGCAGGTACCTGCAGGATCTCCCCCAGCCAATCATCCCCACAGCAATATATCCTCAGATGGTTCACACCGCCAAAGGTGAGAGCGCACGTACCCCCCGCGCGTGTACTGTTCATTTGCACAGTTAGTCCAAAGCAGAAGCTCTGACGTAATGCAAACTCCGATTGAACATTCAGTACTTTGAACACAAAACCACAACACGTTGTCAAGTACCCTTTGCCCCACAAAGAACACACTTGTATTTTGAGTTTTTTTTTTTTTTTTTAAGTTTTTATGTGCATTTTCTTACACTACCCATAAAGCATACAATTGGTGTATTTTCTCACATTCTAGTCAACTGTCTGTCTTCCCTGTCTGTCTTTCTCTCTCTCTCTCGGTTGCAAGCGCAGACAGAATTCTCTCACCACACACTGTTCTGTAGCGCTGCATTCTCTTGCTGTCACAAGGCCAGAAACAGGATATCTGTGGTTAATAGGAACTAAAACAAGCCTGAAAGTTTATCTCTAGCATCTCTGAGCAGCCAATCACCTGCCAGTGTACCTTACGCTCATTGTCAACCACAATCTCTCTGTGGTTTCAAAACCTAACTGCAGATGACGCCTTTTTTCCATCTCATTGTTTTAAAGAAACATCTTTCATTTCATGCTGCTCTCGAGCTGAGGAAGGATTCATTTTTCACATCGGTCTCGCTGACCTTTCTGCTCGTTTTTCTTCCGTTTTCTACAGAGGTGGCGAATCCTGAGGAATGTGCCCAGCTGCTACGTTGCATCGCCAGCACCCCGAGCCTTCCCCCCCAATACTGGCTAACTCTCCACTGTCTGCTAAGGCATTTCGCTAGAGTGTGCCAAAACTGCTCCAAGAACCTGCTCAGCGCCAGAGCCCTGGGCGAGATCTTCAGCCCTGTGTTTTTCAGACAACAGGCCACCAGGTGGGTGTCAGAGCAGCCGGATCATGCCTCGCTTCTGCATACTCTTGTCAAAGATAGACACTCGGGCAACAGACAGACAAGTGTGCAGGCTCAGTCATGCAACACGGAGGCTCTCAAACACACTTGCAGACACATTCAGGCAAGCCCACACACACACACACACAATCACACACTGTCAGAGCTCAGTCTGTCAGGCACTCATGGGTTTCAGCTGTACTCTGATATAGGTTGGAGCTTTTCTACTTACCAGCTGTGCAATTAAAGTAGCTAAGCCTGAATTACCATCAGATTGAAACCAGCACAGAGCAACCAGAGCAGCAGAGACTGGTCACCTGGGCTATAAAACACAGACTTTATTTAACTTGCTGCTTTCGTTTTTCTCCCCCCTCCACAGTTGCGAACCCAGCTTGGATGCTCACATCAAGATCATCGAGGTTCTGGTGACCAGTGAATGGAGTGAAAGTCAGGCAGCTCCAGGTAGTTAACTAATTTTTTTCCCATCATCCACAAAGCTTTTAAATGCAGTTTTTTTTATTGGTGCTCACAACAGTCCAGAATGGTAGGATATTATTTTTAGCATTGCATTGCTGCTGTTTTGTGCAGCATTTGTTGCTGGTTGCAGAACATTGATGTCTGCTGGTTGTGCAGGACATGAACTGAACCCCCCGGGACCCGAGCTATTAATAGCTTGAAGAAAGGTGTTGAGACTTGCAACTGCTGCAGTTGTGAAGGGGGCTATAGGGTAAACTGGAGGTAAATACCAACATGGCTAAAGCAAGTTAAGAGTATTTAATCGTGCAGTGGTCAAGTGGTTTAACTGTAACACAGTTTCTGATTATCTTTGTTATACAACAGTGAAACAGGCACAGTTTGATTGAGATCTGCAGCTGCAGAGGATGTCAGTCCTGCAGAAGATTCTCAGAGATTAATATTTACATTCCCTTTTTACAGTTAATAAAATGGTACAAATTAGTGTTGATTTTTGCGACGGCATTGCTTTTTAATTTAGCTGAGAGCACGGTTTTCTGAAACCGAGCATGATGAATATGATTACTAGTGAGTTTCCATTTATTATTGTGTAGGCTTGAAGGCAAGAAAATTGATAAAATCTTGTTTGACATTCAGGTTTTCTACTCAGGAGTGAAATGTTTCTTCACATGTGATATCATTAGTGGGTTATATGTCGAACAGAAGTTAGTTTTCATGGCCCCGGTACTGGTGGTGGTCTGCATAGTCTGGTGGTGTGTGAGTGCAGTGCATTGCGTGGCAGTTATGTTTTTACAGTGCTAGTTAAAAGCACTGTCGTTGGCTGGCCCAGAGGCCCTTGGACTGGCTGTGGCTGTTTAAACATTTTATTACCTGTTAGGGCTATTTATAACGTTCCTGTGCATGGGCCACTCTCAGCTGTCAGTAATTTGCACCTGCGGGAGCACTTTGGCAGTGGGGATGGATGGATGGATGGATGGATGGATGGATGGATGGACTGAAGGGCGGGGGAAAGACACAAACTCCTGAAACACTTTTTAGTTCTTTTTTTTTTACAAACACACACACACACACACACACACACACACACACACACATAAACACATGACCCAGTCAAACATACAGCAAAGTTCAGGTGTGTCAAACTGGTTTCAGTCACCTGTTATCCATAAGAGAGAAGAATAGCAAACTTTGTAAACATAAATGTACACAATGTACAATATGTTTCTGTGAATGACTCGAGTGTGAGTGTGAGTGTGAGTGTGTGTGTGTGTGTGTGTGTGTGTGTGTGTGTGTGTGTGCGCGTGCGTGCGCGCGCGTCCTCCCAGTTACTGCGTGCCTATTTTAAGTAAGCGACAAAAGGCCCACTTAGATTTGGTTGGCTGGAAAGTCGGCCTGCTCCACAGAGCACTTCTTGTTAACTGAGGGCTGCTTCCAGTTTCTAGGGCCACTCTCTCTCTCCCCTCCCTCCCCTTCGTCCTCCGTCTCTCTGCCTGGATCTCCACATGTCCTCCCTGCCTCAAAGTGCCCAGCTCAGCAAATATTTGAAACTTTGCAAGTTAATCATAAGACTGAACACCCTCCCCGCCTTCTCCTTTACAAACAGAGAGAGAGAGAGAGAGAGAGAGAGAGAGAGAGAGAGAGAGAAGAGAAGAGCACGAGTGGCTGCTTTCAGAACAGGCAGCACTGACACCAGAGCAGCTACCGCTAATCATTAACTACCTGCCTCCACACAAGCAGGCCGCAGAGAGAGAGAGAGAGAGACAAAGAGGGAGGGACGGAGAAAGAGAGAGAGAAAGAGAGAGGGAGGGAGACTTTACCACGCGCACAGCAGGAACTGAACAGTCAGTCAGCTAGACAGTCGCATGTTGCACCTGCCTCACGTCGAGCGGATTACCTGGATTTCATTAAGAAGCACATAAAACCGTAACCTTTTTTTTAAGAATTAAAAAAGAAAGAAAGAAAGAACGAAAGAAAGAAAGAAAGAAAGAAAGAAAGCCACATCCAGCTTCTCAGCCACCTAAACTATGAAATGGAGTTTTACTGGAGGACTTGAAAGTAACTTTGTTGGATTTAATTTACCTTTTGGGAATAAAAGAGAAGCCACAAAGAAGAGTTTGTTGACTCACCAAAACATGCACAACTTGCAACGTAAGTTTGATGTTCTGCAGCTTGTTTTTTTTTTTTTTTTTTAATTGTCACAAAAAAGTGGAACAGTGTGTTTGTACTACTGCTGCTGCCTTCAGGCTACAACGAAAAGGGTTGCTTGGGTAGAATGAGACACAAATACCACAGCTTAAGAAAAGATCACAACGAGAACAATTTTTGTTGTCAGCTGTCAGTGAGCGGTCCTGCTCGCGGCGGCTGCTGTAAAGTTATGAAAGATTCTTACAGACTGCACATATATATATTTATGTTCTTTGCTCTGAGGCAAGCTGGTGAATCTTAGTGAAGATTTGGACTATTCTAAGAGGCCTTTAACATCTCCAACAAATCACACAGTGTGTGTGGCCACAGTCGAACAGGACATGTTTATATTAAATCAAGGTTTTAAAACCCTACAGATAATGATTTTTATATACTATGACCACAACTCTTAAAGCCACAGACTTGTTCATTTAGGTCACAGGCTCTGACATGATTTATTTTTTTTCCAGCACACTGATTTATAGTTTGTAGTGATGTAAGTGAGTTCCTCAGTTTGAACCTAGAAGGACGAAGTCTGCCTCCCACTCGAAACCCTTATACTTTACCGAGAACAAGGTCTATTTTAATTTCACTCAGGAAATCAAGGAAGCTATCTCTGTCATGCCGAGTGTCACGCTGTGGGATTAAAGGCGTATTTTGGAGCTCTAGGTGCCGCTGACCGGGCCAGGCATTATAATTTAGCTGCGTACGTGCTGCTGCAGCAGAGCTGGCTTTGTCTGAGTGCCAGAAGTGGGCCGGACTAAACCTCCGCACGACGCACGCAGGGAGGAGGGGTTGAGCAACCTGCAGGAGAGCGAGCGGCTGAGCTCAGCACAGAGAGAGGAGAGAGAGAGAGAGGAAGAGAGGATAACAGAGGGAAAGCATGGAAACAGGCTGCAGGTCCTTTTTTTTCTCCCCTCTGCTAGTGGAGAGATGCTGCACATTTGTGTTTAAGAGGGATGCACGCTAACGCCGGATGCTGCAGAGAGAATAATGAGTCATTTCAGTTTTAGCTGCGCTGTTGTAAAGATTTGAAGCAGGGAGGTAAAAGGTAGTGGGCTTTCAGAATGACCTCATCGCTCTCAGGAAATGAAAGATGCAGGAGTGGTTGGTGACAGACCCCCCCGCGTGATTGGCTGTGGTAAGTGATGTAACACGTTACTGAGCAGGCTGCCCTTAATGGATTTTTTCAAAGGGATGTTTAGGTTAGATTAAAAAAACAGCTTATTGTGCATGTTTAGTTAGTTATTTAGTTGCAGTTAGTCAGATAATGCAAGCTGTCTTTTGGTAGGAATGAGTCTAGAGGCTGTTGCTAAGCAGTTTAGACTGGATTGTGGCTGTAAGAATTAGAAATTTCTAGAAATCTGGAGTTGAAATCTGATGAGATAGGAAGGCTTTTGTACCGAGAAGTGCAGCAGGAAATCGTGAGCTGTGGTTAAACTGGTAGGCAGCGCTTTGCACAGATTGGAAACCTCTGCGTTTTCTGCCATGTCACAACTGTAGTTGTCTGGCAACCGGGAGCCAGTGGCGGCGGTCTCCATGGAGGTGCAAGGTCCGGTGTAGCAGAAAGGCTGTTAATGCAGAGGGAGTGAACAAAGGCAGTGCAGATTTGTGGGTTAAAAATAGCCTTCAGCTAGAGTCAGCGTGTGAGCAGCCAGTGCACATTTAAGATGTTTTAGCTCCACAGCAGCAGTTAAAATGCTCTTCATCACTTGTTTATCACATGAAAATCACCGCAGACGCAATGCAAATCTGACATTTAGTGTTTCCTTAAAGCTGCAAAAGGAGATTTAATGGTCAGATGATTATGTGTCTTTTAAAAGCTGGATTTAATTGCTCAAGGGGGAATCTGGGTATTTGCATTTATAGTGTGCTACATGTATTTTTAACCTTTTGTTTTCCTGCTTTGATTTTGAAAGAAATCACACTCCTGGTGGCGTAACAGTGGTCATGATGGGAATCTTCTTTTTTTTTTTCTGTCTGAAAAATAAAGGCTGCACTGTTGTATCTGCAGCCAGGAATATTTATAGATATCTCCCTTTTCTTGAATGAAATTCATTCTCCCTGAGTCATGCTTCATTTCCCCTCCCACTGCCTCGCTGTTACCGCCTCTCTGTCGGAGAGGGGCAGCATTTTTCCAGCCTCATTTAATCAATGGGGGGGAGGAGTGACTCACAGAGGGAGGGAGGGGGTGTGTGTGTGTGTGTGTGTGTGTGTGTGTGTGTGTGTGTGTGTGTGGAGATGTCCAGCATCTGCAACAACAGTGTTGCTCAAATGTTGGTATTCAGTTGTATTTTCTGCAGCTTTTAAAGAAGAAAATCAGCAATTTCATCAAAAAGCTGAGAACTTAAACATGAGTTGGATCCAATTCAAATTCTGTATTCGCTCCTTGTTCCCACAGCTCTACCTCCAAAGCCACCGAAGCCCACATCTGTGACTAACAACGGTATGAACAACAACATGGCTCTACAAGACGCCGAATGGTACTGGGGAGACATCTCAAGGGAGGAGGTCAATGAGAAACTGAGGGACACTGCGGATGGTACGTTTTTGGTGCGAGACGCCTCTACGAAAATGCACGGAGACTACACTCTGACTCTGAGGTGAGCTCCTTTCTCCTTCCTGTTTAAAATCCTCTTATTGACCATCTTTTTATTTATTTTTTTAGCAGTAAGTTTAACCGGTTTTGTTGCTTTTTTGTGTGTGTTTTTTGTCTACAGGAAAGGAGGTAACAACAAGCTCATTAAGATATTCCATCGGGATGGGAAGTACGGCTTCTCGGACCCACTGACCTTCAGCTCCGTCGTCGAGCTCATCAACCACTATCGCAACGAGTCACTGGCGCAGTACAACCCCAAGCTAGACGTCAAGCTGCTGTATCCGGTCTCCAAACACCAGCAGGTGAGACATCAACTCGGTCTAGACCAGCACGCTTACGTTACGACGCTTACGTTCAAGCGACTCACTGTCTCGGCCTGTGAATCTTTTCTCAGGATCAGGTGGTGAAAGAAGACAACATTGACGCTGTGGGGAGGAAGCTCTGCGAGTACCACCAGCAGTACCAGGAGAAGAACAAAGAGTACGACCGCCTGTACGAAGAATACACCAGAACGTCACAAGTGAGTACCGATCAGAGTCGACCCGCCGCCGATCGAGAATTTAACTGCAATATTTGTACGACGTACGCTAAAACTGTGCCTCTGCTTACAGGAAATCCAAATGAAAAGGACGGCCATCGAGGCTTTTAATGAAACCATAAAGATATTTGAGGAGCAATGCCAAACGCAAGAGCGGTACAGCAAGGAGTATATCGAGAAATTCAGGAGAGAAGGCAACGACAAGGAGATCCAGAGGTGAGAATACGCCACATTTGACAATGTTAGTGTAAAAGAAACGACCGTAGCAGAGAGTAAAAGTCAAATTATGTTCAAAACTCACAGTTCACTGTTGTTTTCAGGATCATGGGCAACTATGAGAAATTAAAGTCCCGGATTAGTGAAATCATCGACAGCAAGCGGCGGCTGGAGGAAGATCTGAAGAAACAGGCGGCAGACTACAGAGAGATTGACAAGAGGATGAACAGCATCAAACCAGACCTCATCCAGCTCCGCAAGACCAGAGACCAGTATCTCATGTAAGTACAGGACTCTTCTGAAGCTTCTCTCCGGAGAGAAAATCAAAAATGGGTCTGCCCTGGTTTCTAATATCCTCGTGCTGTCTCTCTCTCGTTAGGTGGTTGACCCAGAAGGGAGTCAGACAGAAGAAACTCAACGAGTGGCTCGGAATCAAGAACGAGAACACAGAAGAGTGAGTGTCCATTTTTAATTCCAACAAATGAACCAAAAACGAGTGTAAATACCTCTCACGTCTCACATTAACTCGCTTTGTTCCCTCCAGTCAATATTCTATGGTGGAGGACGACGAAGACCTTCCTCATCACGACGAGCGGTCCTGGAAACTGGGCAACATCAACCGACTACAGGCGGAGGCTCTCCTCCAAGGAAAGAGAGACGGAACATTCCTGGTTCGAGACAGCAGCAAAGCGGGATGCTACGCCTGCAGCGTTGTGTACGTATTTTACCTGGTTTTCTTAAAACGGCTGCTCAGAGTCGTCAGGTGCACATATGAATATCGAAACAGCTGTAATCATTTCACCCGTTCGTACTGGACATTAAGAGATGTCGTCTTATTTTTGTCTTTTTGCTAATATAAGCAAAAATACATATAGTTTATCTGCTGCTAAATGAGACTTCAGCAGTCTTTGAGTCTGGTAAATCAAGCGGATATCCTCCTAATTGAATCGGTTTATGTGTCTAACAGCCTGCTGAAGCCTTTAGTCTCAGATTAGCACAAAACGACACTGAAAGTGCATTAGAAACTCATTTTGTACTAAAAAGAGGAGTGAAACCTGCGTCTGGCTATTTTAAACTAGCGAGTGGTTGTTGCTCTATAAAGAATGAAGTGGTTAGAAAGGACACTTTTATAGCCTGCAGACACAGAACAAACTGTGACCGTTGTCCTCCTCCTCTTCCTCTCTTTGCAGCGTGGACGGCGAGGTGAAGCACTGCGTCATCAACAAGACCCCCTCAGGTTATGGCTTCGCCGAGCCGTACAACCTGTACAGCTCACTAAAAGAACTCGTACTTCACTACCAGCACACGTCTTTGGTCCAGCACAATGACTCTCTGAATGTGACGCTAGCGTACCCGGTCTATGCCCAGCAGAGACGGTGAGGACCCCCCACCCGGATGTTATCCACACATGGACACGAGAGAAAAAGGCCTCATTGGGAGTTGGAGACTCTGTTTGCCTAACTCAGACTTGAAAATCGGAGGACAAAGACGCAATAAAGCCTGAAACATTTCAGTGACTTTGCCTGACCCACGAGCCTGAGGCGAGTCTGAATGTAGATTTCTTTCTTTTTGCTTCGTGCGGGAGCACAGAATCAAGCGGGAAACTGCTGAACTTCTCCCCCAGCAGAGGACATTTTGAGGCCTTTTCCTTAATGGTGCTTGTTCTTTTTCAAAGCTTTACCAGCCGGGAATGTCTAATCGCAGCAGATAAACTCTTCAAATGGAAACTGTACCCACCGGCCACAACTTTGTTTTTCCACTTTTTTTTTTTTTTTTCTTCCTTTCACGTCATCTATGTGTGTTTGTGTGTGTGTTTCTGCACAAGTGTTTCTGTGTATGTATGTTAGTGAGTGTGTGATTGTCCATGTGACCAAAACTCATAGAATCAGGAAACTGTGTGAAACGTCGGGCGGGCGGGAGAGGGGGGGGAGGTAAAGCTGTGTAACACATTTGCTTGTGTTAACTGTTCAGTAGCGGACCGTCGGTCGGCTGATAAATGTAGCAAAATGGCACTTTTTAAACAAAGTTTAATTTTCTTTTTTTTGTTTTGAAAAAAGACTCCTATGGACTTTTATCAGAAGAGCAGTAAAGGACGAAAGACGTCGGCGTCCTGCCTTCTTACTGTCGAGCATTATAGCGCAGAAGTAAACTTGATCTTTTACTGTGGGGCAGGTGAAACTATGAATGGACTATTTCATGTACATATGTGAAAAAATGTGCAAAAGTCATGAATCAAAAGTGCACCATACCAAAAAGGATCAGTTCCTTGTTTTAGTTATATTTCTGATCTGCTATGCAATTCTTTCTCTCCATTACTTCTTCAGAATTGTTTGTTTTTATTCTGTTGCAACCCACGATATAAGCTTTTGTTTTTATTGCTTGAAAAGTATCTTTTCCTGTGTAAAATATCCACGAGGATATTTTGTGTCAAAATGCAAAGATACAGTAAAGAAAAAAACTGCTTATGATTTAAAAAAAAAAAAAAAGATTATAATAATAGCAACATACACTTTATTATAAATTACTTTAACGACTGGTATAAAGATGGAAAAGATGAGTATTTTATTAGTCTTTTTGTTTTGTTTTTGCTTCAAACTAATGTTCTTCTCAGGCAGAGCCTTTCTGAGTATTTGAGCTGCTTCAGTCACAAGTACTATTTCTTACAGAGTTAAGCCTACATGCAGTTTCGAGCACTCAGAGAATGGGATGATGGGATTGTACAAACCCCTTATCGAACCATCACCATGGATTAAAAAAAAAAACCAACAGTATAGATTTATTTTGTTATAAAATTATATATATATGTTCCCACATGAGAATATATTAAAAAAAAGAAAAAGCAGACTGGTGTTTTCAACCGATGGATATTGTTATTAAAAAGATCAATATACATTGTCCATGTAGTATTTTTCTGTATCAGAAAATCACTGTGTTTACATAGGTGGATCAGCTCATTTCAGATCTGTCTGTAATTTCATATTTCACAAAAAAGGACAACGTGCCAGTTGAATCCTTCACAGAAATATTTAGCCACAGCTCAGAATACGTTTTATTCTTTTTTCCCCCCTTCATCTTTATTCTAACTTCTACAAGTCCACGATTTAAAAAAAGAGCGATTGGTACACGTTGTAAACCCAGTGGACCGGTACAAACTATCGGTAAGACGCTCCTAAAATGCGTCGAGCCGCTACCGAATTTGTCCGCCTCGTTAACCGATTAATACATTTTAGATCACTCAAATGATGAATGAAAAAAATAAATGTCTGCATTTAATAACAATAAATGTATTTTACAATCCTAGATCTACCTGCCGTTAAATTCTTTTTAGATGTGGTACTTTTATTCCAGCCCCCACCCCCCAAAACAAAATGTACTCAAGGTCAGCACGGCTGTCAAGTTATATATATATATTATATATCTTTGTGTAACAAATTAGTTGTAACAAAAAAAAAGACGTTAACCCATTTTGATTATTGCATTTTTGTCAAATTTGACTCTTAATTCTCTCGATTTTTGGCACAAATGTGTGTAACGACAACTTAAAAGCCTCCACTTGTGTCACTTCCTGTCAAAAGAATAAAACAATGCATTTATCATCTGTTTTTTGAGAGAAAATGCAAAAAAAGAGAGAATTTTTAAGCATTTTCTTGTTTTATTCTCAGCCCCGAACTTTAAGGCAGAACTGTTTCACAGCTTAAAGAAGCTACTGTTCACACACACGTGTAAAAATGTTTTATTTTTAGATGTATTTGACCAGATTACTCATGCAGGATTTAAATTTATTAGCATATTGATAGTAAACTGTCATTTATTCTAGGTTTTTATTGGTTCTTCAGCCGTTAACAGATGTTATTAGATCTGTCGTATCTGACGTTTGTTTCTACTAGAAGTCTGATTATTATTTACCTCCCCAACAGCTGCTGGCATGAACTTTTTTTGTTTCTTATTGTCAATTTTTTCTCGGACAACATGCACCATTATTTTCTTTGCCCCCAGTTCTGGGTTGTATGATTATTTTAGGTGTCTCTCTTTTTTATTTTATTTGAAACTCATCTTTTTGTGGGTGTCCCCTGACATGATGATTGGATTGAGATTTACCAGTGTTTCCCCAGTTTTGCTTCAAATCTGTATTGGGCTTTGTTAAAAAGGAAATAAAACACTTCTTTTTAAGAAATAAAGTCTTGTTTTAGTCTTTATTATTAAAGAAAATGTGATGTGTAGTCGATTTTTAGACGCGCAATTGCCAGACTATTTTATATTTTGACATTCATGTTCCCGCCAGTTGATGAAATCTAATGATTTTAGTCAAAAAAATAAGTTTTAAATGCCTAAAAGTGACGTGTTCATATTGATTGTTTAATTCAACAAATGGTCTTAAACCCCAAAAACTAAGAATTATTGTCAATTATTCTTTCAATCAAGCGATTTTTAGTCTATTAAAAGGAAAAAATAGCAACTTCCCAGAGACCTGTGACGTCTTCTATAGACCTTTTTCACAGCAGCTATTTTGACATGAAATAGTAGGGTAAACATTGACTCTAATTAAGGCTCTGTTCCATTTAGTGCAGCAGAGCCTTTTTCAGTGAGCCAACAAGCACAATGGCAGCAGCTCCAAATCTGTTCGACCTGAATGGAACGGGACCTTAATTAGTGTCATTGCCTGTGTTTACCCAACTAACTATTTCATGTGAAAATGGCGGCTGTGAGAAAGGTCTGTTTGCCCGACCAACAGTCCAAAAGTCAAAGATATGAAGTTTATGGTCATATATGAGAGAAAAACATCAAATCTGAGAAGCTGGAAAATGTGTTTGAAAACTTTTATTACCAAAATAGTTGCTGATTAATTTCGAGTAATCAATCGATCACTGGGTAAAGCAGCACTGTGCCTTAATACGCTGGCCTTAAACCTATAAAACTACAAAAACCAGCAGCTCTTAGATCAGTTTGACGTCTGCTACCAGCATACTGGAGTTTCACAGATATTCACCGGCGTTCGCTGGGTTGCGAAACGTCTTTTGATGTTTGAAAGGAACAAACTCAAGAGGACGTGACTTTCATACCAGATGTGCAACCAAACTAGAACACAATGTGAGCTTGAAAATGTTTCACCAGATTTAATCCGCTGCAGTTCCTCTGGTGTTCGACTGCAGTGGAAAGTTAACACATGCTTTTATTTAATCGGCTAGAGATACGATCAATAAGCTCCTGGTAATGTTCTGTGCGTACATTGTGAGGGATTAAACTACTAATAATTATATAAATGAGCTAAATATGAGCTTAATCTCAACCAGCAACGTTAAAATATGAGAAATAAGTAACATTAGAGCTTTGATTATTTTAATATACATTTAATATTTTGCTAATAATGTCTGCAACTGTAATTAATGTCATAAATGATTATCAAACGAAAGTGAATTTCTTATTTATTAGTGCTTTGTGATAATTGTACTATATAAATGTATAATATTGTCTCATTTAGCTTGTATAAACTATTCAAACTATTTAATTATATATTTATGTTAAACTCTAAATATTAATAATCTAATCTATACTGCCGAAAAGTTACCTCAAAGCAAAGAGTAACTAAAACTAGACAATTCATTGGAGACTATAGCAGAACATCACATTTACCACCGAATTTCAATCATTGTTGCATTTAAAATGAAACTTATTCAGTCAGTTGAGCTAATTAAACCAATTAATAAACTAATTCTCATCAAAACAGCGTCTGCAGTGATTTCCTGGAGAATAATACATTAATATATAGTAAATGTATTAACTACAAACTCCAAACCTCACGTATTACAATAACCTTTAACAGTTTTATCTAAAATATAGAACGTTTAACTATATTGTGACGCTTGAAAGCATCCAGGAAACCTCAGTTCACACAAGTGTAACAGTTACAGTCAAAACGCTGCGATCTGAAGGAAATTCAACGTATTTCTGACAGTGGTGGTGAATTAATTAGCACTTTTAAAGCACTGATATGTGCTCAGTAAAAAGAGCTGAATATGTGTCTGTATGAGGTGTCTGCATACGATTTAATGATGATACTGTTGGCTCATAATAATGGCAGAACACATGACAGTAACCTGTTATCGTAATTCCAACAGATTAAAGCTTAAAAAATGCTGCTAATTGATAATAGTTGCACTTAAACTGGTTATTACTCAGTTTAATGCCTCTATATGAGCGACATCAACAAACAAGACCATCAACAAGAAGATTTTCTATAATGTTATTCTGCCAGCGGGTCGGATTCCCCTTGAACTCAATGAAACCGAGCAGTGCGAACAGTACCGCTTCTGTCCACAGGGGGCGCCAGAATCAACGCAGACTCAAAAGTTCCTTGTTTCTGCTTTAAGTACTTTAAATTAATGTTTCCTATTTCTTCTCTCCTCCAGTTCAGATGGAAATATTGTACTTTTTTTACTCCAATATTCATTGTACACCTGCAGTAACTGGTTATTGTTCAGATTAAGGTTGTTTCTTTATAGACTGTAGAAGAATTAACCTTTTGCAATACTTTCCACTGACTAAATGAAGCAATACAAAGTGTGTAAAAGTGCTGAACTTCACAAGTAAAACCACATCTGCTCTGACTCGATTCTGGTTAAAGATGACTGTGACTATTTTAAAATCATGAGGTAAGTGGCATTTTTCTTTCCCCGTTTATGTGCAGTTATTGCTGCAAGGCTACTTTAGTCCATCACGGGTGGCGACGTTAATGGAGCGCCTACTACTGTGACTAATGGTCATAATCTGGATTTAGCAAAAAAAAAAGGGCTCAGAGTTAACACGAGGACAGACACAGCGAGTTGAGGTATTATAAAGCAAATCATACATGAAAATCACGCAGTACTTTAGCTTATATAAGCCAGCTTGTTTGAAGCAGCTACAGTCTACAGTTTATTTCTGCCGCCGCTCCTTTAAGAAGAGGAATTCTTCCTCTTTTAGGTCAGACTGTAATGCAGCCACACCGGTTACAGAACCGTAAAGGATGAGGTTTAAAGATAAGGCAACGGGTTCAGACGGCTTATCTTAGAAAACCCTGATAGAGGGGAGCAGAGACTCTGGCATTGCACAGCACTCTGTTAATAGTTAACAGATATATCTGAAGCATTGATGAGCACCTCTCAGAAAGAGATCTCAGGGAAGTAATTCTGGAGCAAAGTCCGTCAAATCGTTGGCCTACAAAGTATTAACAAGCCTGTCGTGATCGGCCTCCTGAATGAGGCCTTTTTGTTAAAGTATTTCAGCATTAAGACACCGTATTCTTCTTTTTCTGACACAGTTTTTTATTAAAAATCTCTAGTTTTGCGGCGCCCTGGTAGGGTATTTGTCAGGGTGAAGGTCAGTGTAGGTTTTACAGTACAAACACTCATTGTCACATAGATCAGTGGTTTTCCTCGAGGGACACCATTTAGTAAACTTATGATCCCTACAGGGACATATTTTATGGATATTCTTCATATTATATTAGAAAAACAGTACAATTAACCCAAACTGAATCAGGAACTGCAAGAAATGTGTGTAAAATTAGTGATTTGGATGTATGTCGAGCAGATTATTTCTTGTTTAGGGAACTTTTTATATAATTTTCTGTCTGTATTATGTATATTTAATCATTTTTATCAATCATACAGACTTAAGAGGCTTTAATTCAGTGTTTTTCTGTCCCTGATGTTTAACTATTGTTCTGTTAGAATTACCTTTCTCCGGGCGCCCGGTTAGCTCGGTAGAGCTGGCGACCCATATACAGAGTTGCTGCAGCGGCCCGGGTTTGAATCCAACCTGTGGCCCTTTGCTGCGTGTCATCCCCTCTCTCTCTACCCCCCTTTCCTGTCAATCTTCAGCTGTCTCTATCAAATAAAGGCATGAAAAGGCCAAAAAAATAACTTAAAAAAGAATGACTTTCTTCACAGAAGTGAAACAAATGCTGAGATTTAGTCCTACTGTGTGTATTTTTTAAGTTTTCTAGCACACATTAAAATCAAGAAGGCCTCACCATGAAGCTTTGGCTTTTTTTTAGTACATACTAACATTTCTTATTTTTATTCAAACCTATTTTAGGTTTTTGTGTTTACTTTTGGTTAACTATAATAAGCTTAGTTGGAAATATTTAGTCATATTTTTCCATCAGCACAAGCAGAACAATCTCCCTCATTTTCTCCTTTTCCATCCCGTCACCTTGATGTGGATCTTTCAAGGAAACCGACAAAGTTTTCATTGTTGATACGATCAAATTTAAGCCTCTCAAATCTGTTTGGAAATTGAAGCTTCCAGGAAGCAGGTTCACTGAGTTATCTTGATGACTTTAATGAGTCACAAAACAAGAACCACCCATAAATCTGGAAACAAAGAGCAAACACGTTCTGGGTTTACCTCAGCAAAAGATAAATCAGGAAAATCTGCTTCCTAGAATAGGACCATGTAATCTGTAAGTAAAGCTTCGACTGAAGGCAATTATATCTGTCCGCAGTCAACTGTTCCTGAAATACACAACAGGACAGACTCAGACACTCCTATCGACTGGCCCGGTGTCCAACATGTGGTCACACCGGGAAGCCTGCAGGTGCGCTACTGCGCGAACATCCGACCGCTGAGAGAAACAGTGATCAGTCACACTGTAAACAACGTCCACACTTAGAGGAGGTCTCCAGTGAAATAAGATGAGTTTAGTGCCTCAGTCACATGCTGCTGAGTGCATCGCACCCTGTGGGCCGCCCTACAGTGCGCGAGTGTGCAACACAGTAAATACTGAGACTGTTAATCAATAATCTGGGCCATTAAACCTGACTAAGCGACTCTTGCCGGAGCAATATGTGGTGTCTGGCAGATATGAAGACATTGCAATGATTTTAAGTGGTGATAGAGGTGACTGCAGTTTCTTGAACTTGAGTAGAAAAGGTCAAAAACCTCAGTCAGCACAACAGTTCTTTAAAAAAGAAAATGTAATAAATTACTCTCAAGGAGTTGATTAGTTTCTCTGGGGAAGTTAGTTAGAGCTCATTAGTTCATTCCTGCTCTGTACATCACTTTGGTCATAACTCGGTCAAATCTAAACAGAAGTAAATAAATAAACGTCCATAAATCTGGTTAGAAATCATCCTGATAATTTCAGAACTTGCCTGAGAATCATTGCGTTTTTAAGTTTCCTTCAGTGTCAAAGTCA